TGTACTCTTTACACCACAAACCCTACTCCTATGGCTACCTGAAATCTCACCACTATATGATCACAACTCTTCCTTCGAAATACACAAAAACAGCATAAACCCTAGCACGCTACTGTCTGAAACCCCAACATATGATCTGAAACATACTTCCTATTTGATCCATAACAGAAATCATGCATAGAAATCTCTTACCTTATCACTGAAGGAACAACCACACGAGCAAAAAATCAGTCCACACAAGACAGCCACTGCACCACACAGATTGGCCCTCTTTTCTTCATCGATTAGGGGAGGGCTTCTTAGAAACCACAGCAATCGACCACACAAGACACGACTGGAGGCATAGAAATCTCCAAGGGGAGAGGGCGATCACTCCTTTTCAGCCTTTTCCCTTATCTCCAGTTGAATGCGGGAAAATCAAGAGAAACCCTAGATTGGGTGCACAGAGAATAGAAATCTAGGCAGATAGAAATCTAGGCAGATTCGAGTTGCTCTGATACCATGTTATGATTCGGCCTGTCTTGGAGTTCTATTTGTCTGAGATCAATCACGTAAAGAGAGGTAGAAAGGTGGAAGAAAGAGAGAGAGAGAGAGAGAGAGAGAGAGAGAGAGAGAAAAGGAGAGAGTCTGGTTCGAACTGGAAGTCAAAAAACCTAACTCCCATTTGGCCAAACATGTGCTTTTATTATTAAAATAAATGGAAAAGACATATGTGCCCTTATTTAAGTAAGGAGCATTGGTTCTAACATAATATTACAGATCAACAACCTTAAATATAAGTATAAAGACAGAAATACCCCTTACGCTAACAAGCATAAATCTCCTCTACAATCTTATCAACTTCTAACAGAGCTTTATCTGCTTGGAAAGGCCGAAGATTGAAGGGACCTTCAAATTTCAATTTCTATTTCAGTTCCTCTGCTACAAAGATCCATTTTGACACTTTCTTGTTTGCATAAACTACAAACATTTTACGCCAATCCTTATCATTCCCATCTGCTTCCTTCCCATCATCTGTCTTTGAGTGGTTTGCCTCATCGTGGTTGGCCTAGGTTTTCTTTGATTGCTCTTCGATTCTCCACAAGAACTCCTGCAATTCTTTCACAAACATGGTCCAACCTTTACTTTGGTTTCCAAGGGGGATACAAATCATCTGTTTTCTGCCCAAGCCGAACCACTATGTGACTGTGATGAACCATCCTTTCCTACTGAAACGTTGTTTTGCTTCAAATACCTTTCCATTTAGCTTCATCACATTCTTCTAGTTCTGAGATCTCCTTGAGACTATGGCTACATCCAAAAAACCTTTTAGCCAGGCAACCACATCCTTCGGTAGGTACACAGAGGCTCTTTTCTCTTCTCTGATCTTCATCGGAACCAGGTTCCTTGACTTCACTTCCTCAAACTTAAACAATTTTGCTTCAATGGAAGCTTCCTTTCTCCATCTCCCCACTGATTTGAAACTCCCTTTCTCCATTATTCAACAGGTGAGATTTTGTGTGGCAAAAGAAGCTTAGTTAATGGAATCTTGTATGGCTGACACCTCAAGTTCTATGGGTAGCATCCTTAATCTCTCCCTTGTTATGAACTATTGAACCAAGATATAGGAAAATGTTGCATTGAGTTATACCTTGTTGAATCCTCTTGCATATCCTTAATTAGGCCTATATACCCATTTGAAACCCCTTTCTTTTTCTAAGACTCACCATATTATCTCTCTAGGAACTCTATCGTATGCTTTCTCTAGATGAACACTTCATGAAGATCTATCTTTTTCTCTCTTAACTTTTTTACCAATCATCGCAAAAGAATGATAGCTTTCATAATTGATCTCTTTGGCATAAACCCAAATTGGTTCTTTGATATACTTGTTTCAAGTTGTTTCAAGGTATATGTTATTTTTAACACTATCAGTATTACTAGTTTCTCTTATTAGCATCCTCTACATGTTGTTCATTTAATAATTTTTCAAAATAGTTTTTCATCTTTGCTTGATTTTCTCATCTTTTACCAAGACTCTTTTATCTTCCTTTTTAATGCACTTAATACAGTTTAAGTCTCCGCCTTTCCTTTCTCTTACTCTTTACTAGTTAATGAATTCCTTTTTCTCCTTCTTTAATGCCTAATTTATGATAAAGCCCATCATATGCCTAAAACTTAATTTCATTTACTTTCTTTTTAATTTCCTTTCTTATGGTTTTATATTTTTTTCCTAATTTTCTACATTTCTAGACTTTTACCATTCCTTGTAACATGCTCATTTTAATTTGATTATATTTCGAATCTCTTCAAACCACCACTAAGTTTCTTTAGCACTTTTCCATTTTCCTTTAAATCCCCCCAAGACATCCATTGCTACTTTCTTTATGCAATTTACCATTTCAAGTCACATATCATTAGTCTTTCCATCTAACTTCCATTTTTTCTTTTACTAACAAAATGCCTCTAAATTGAGCTAGATTTTCTCCTTTTATGTTTTCTCACCTAATTCTTGGACATCTAGTTTCTTCCCTATTTTTCTTCCAATTCTTAATATGCACATCAACCACCACTAGTCTATGTTGTGTGGTTAAGTTTTTCTCTGAAATAACTTTGCAATCCTTACACATCATTTGTTTTGCTCTAGTAAGGAAAAAATCTATTTGACTTACATTTGATCCACTTTAAAATTTTATTAAGTATTCATCATTCTTTTGAAAAATGTGTTTAAAATTGGCATATTATAAGCTATTACAAATTCTAATATTGTTTCTCCTGTTTCATTCCTCTCCCCAAACCCAAATGCACCATATTATATCCTATGCTTCATTTTCTCACATGTCATTTTTATCTCCTATAAATTATTATCACTATTATTAATTATTATCAGTATTACTGATATTCCTTTTCTTGGATGCTATTGATAAGATTCTCCTTAACAATACATGATGTACAATCCAGATTGCCCATGATGTTTAAATATGGCAAAGATGATGTTTAAATATGGAATGTGAGTTAGCTTTTTCCTTACCATGTGTGGGCCTAGGAAATCAAAATGATTATTGGGTAAGCCACAGACCAGAATCATTTTAACAATACAGGTGCACTTTTTGTCATAGTTTTTTGCAAAGATAAAAGACACCATGTTGTTAACAGCCTACAAGCATTCTCTTGAAGGATGTCATATCCAATTCTTGCATGACATTTAGTGGGGAACAGTTCTCTTCTGTTTTTACACATGGCTTCCACTTATACAATGATAGAGATATTGTTGTTTCTATCATTCTCTCCTATGGGGATAATGGTCTGAATTGCAATCTTTGTTTTAATATTCATAGAAATGCGGACTTCTGGAGTTGGAGAGGTTGCCTCCCTCACTCACTCACTGACAAAGGTTTACATATGTAGCATATATGCAAACTCTGTTGACACTTTTGTTTAGTCTCATAACCCTGTTGGAATCTTCTTTTTTGCTCTTGTTTCCTGGAAAATTAATTACAGCTGTTTTAAATTCCTCCTGGGGTCTCTTAACCCTGTAGGGCCAGCAATGTTGTATGGAGCAAAATGAAATTTTTGGGTAATTAAGAAACTAATGAGTGGTAGAAATATGAATGCTGAAATGGATGAGTGGAGAAACTAGAAATGACAGGATAGGAAATGAAGCCATTCGAAGGAACCTGGGAGTAGAAGAGCTAAGATGGTTTGGTCACATATAGAGGAGACCATCTACAACACCTATAAGAAGAAGTGATCTATTATAAGTGTAAGGGGCGGGGACTAGAAGAGCTAGGGGCAGACCAAAAAGGACATAGGTTGAAGTAATAACAAACGATTTAGGTACTCATCATTTAACAATGGATATGACACTAAACAAAACATAATGGTGAAACATCATGATGACGTTCTTCTCAAAAGTATAGAGTTATAGACATCATGAATTCAGATGAGTACATGACAAATTGAAGCCAATTACCTCAGGTTCAAAGTGATCTTTGGAGGTCCAACCCCTTGAAGAGATCAGATATTCAAACAGTTTATATGTTTGGGAGCATGTTATATTGTTATTGTTATGAAAGCCAGTCCTTTAGTTGGGCTGTCAAAAGAACATGATAATATTATAACATTGAAGATTATGACGGGGAATTAAAGAAACTACAAGTGCTGCCAAAAGAACAGAAATAAACAAGCTTCCATGCTATAGTCGACATATCCTGGTACGAAGTAGCTTTCCATGCGAAGGCAAACCCAAAGGCGGCAATAATCAAAACAAAGGACAGGATCAAATTTCCCTTCTGAAGGAATGGGTTTAATCTTGTACTTCGATCAGAACAGGTTAAATAAATAGATAATTACATTCCATGATAACTGGATTGCTATTTATCTTCTGTTATTCTTTTGAGCCAAAATTCAAGCAAAAGATACATAACCCATAACGCTTTTCTACTTCCTTCAATTTGAGAAGAAAAAATACGGGAAACCATCTCAAGGTTCCAGAGCTTGCATCTCCTACCAGAAGAGCACTTGTTTCAGTTCTATTTAAAATCTAGACATTAAATAAATAAACAAATTCAAAGTTACCTCTTCTTCTTGTCGTTCGCCGGATTCCGTCGTCGTCACCGTCGTGGCAGTGCAGCAGCGAACAAAACCCAAAACCCTAATAAAGGACCAAGAAGTGAAAAAAAAGGTACGAAGGACTCTTTTCAGTGCAAGGACATAAATGCCCTTCACATAAATAACTAATTACTCGTAAGCTGAAAAACGCGAAGAGAGTAATCAAGCAAAGAACAAAATGGTCTTACTCTTACCTAGGCGCATGTTAGAACTGTCCAATTCTCTCATCTTCTTCCAAGTTCCAAGTTCCAGCAGCGCCATATCTCTTCCGCCAACAGTTTTAATTTCTTAGCGCATAAACTCCGGAAAGGAAGGTACTCAAATGACGAACTCTAACCATCTGATACTTCGAAGTTTCCACAGAAACCCTAACCCTAATTTTGACTCTTTGTTTTTATGATTGCAGAGATTGTCAATCGCATCGGAGATGGCGAGCACTGCTGATGCCGCCGGCGAGCCGATCCCGACGTCGGCCGTACTCATGGCGTCTTCGAAGCATATAGCGACGAAATGCAGAATGGAGAATATGGCCTTTATCAATTGTAAGAAGAAAGATCCCAACCCAGAGAAATGCCTCGATAAGGGCAAGGAGGTCACTCGTTGCGTTCTAAGCCTGTAAGCATTCAGAGATATATCTTTTAATGTCTCTTATCTATTTGTTAATTCGTATTTATTTGATTTTTGGTTGTCTGGGAACATACATTTGAAGCACCGTCTGTTGTGAAAGTCGATCAAGCGATTGACAATGAAAACCTGAATTCCATCTCCCCCAAGGCTGTTCATTGTGTGCATTTGATTGGTTTGAGTGGTTCTCTTTACTTAACCTCTTAAATGCAAGATTGCAAAATTATTCCCTGCAATTACAGTTAAAGCTTAAACTTATAGGTCTTTTTTCCCTTTTGCTCTTCTCTTCAGAGACCTCATATTAAAATAATGGAATCTTTTAGCAAGTTACGATGATAAGAATAAGCAGTTTGCTTGCAGCTGAAACTTTCATTGGCCCAAGGCGGTTTATTTAATTGAGCTTTGTAGCTGCTCCTAAGAGCTGGAATAAGAAGCTTTCTGTGAGTTGAAGGATGAAATATTATTAGACGAGCATTAAGCCATTAACATTACCAGCTACTATTTGTTCTTTTAGGAAAAGATTTTCAAAAATTTAGATGATTTAACAAAACACCAAAAAGTTTCAATGATTATCAAAAATCTTAAATCCTATATGTTTTATTTATCAATGTCTTCACCAAGGTTCAGCACTTAGTCCTTATTTATTTGCATTGAACATAATAGAATTGATTTATACATATTCAGGAGGAGGTCCCATGGTGTATGTTATTTGCTGATGACATTGTTTTAACTAATGAAACTAATGAAGGATTAAATACAAAATTAAGTTTATGGACAAATACCTTAGAAAAAAGAGGTTTTAAAATAAGTAGGAGTAAAATGGAATATATGATTTGTAAGTTCAATAATAAAAGGAGTTCAAATCATGGTACATTGGAGACCAAGAGATAACTCAATGTGAATTTTTGTGGTACCTTGGTTCAATAATTCATAACAAGGGAGAGATTGATGAGGTCACCCATAGAATTAGAGTAGGATGGGCAAATTGAAGGGGTGCATCTGGAGTTTTATTTGATAGCCAAATACCATTTAGAATAGAAAGAAAATTGTATAAAGCAGTTGTAAGGCCAGCTTATGCTATATAGAGCAAAGTGTTGAGCAGTCTATAAACATGTCCAGAAAATGAGTGTGGCAGAAATGCATATGCTAAGATGGATAAGTGAAAAAACTAGAAAGGATGGGCTCAAAAATGAAGCTATTTGAAGGAACCTAAAAGTAGCTCTAATAGGTAATAAAATGATAGAAGGCAGACTAAGATGGTTTCACCACCTGGATTGAAGGCCATGAACAATTAAGCTCTTCCTATGCGGCTGTGCCTTATCTCCTTGGTTCCTAGCCCTTGATTTCTCAGATGATCTGTAGTTATGTACTTGAGAGAATGGTTCCCTTTTCTGTATTCAGGCACTAAAGGTGTCAACCTGTTTTCATGTACCAGCCTTTTCTTTAAGATTCTATTCCATCAATAGCTCCAATAGGTGATAAAATGAGAGATAGTAGACTAAGATGGTTTGGTCATGTTATGTGCATGGAAGACCACCAACAGCTCCAGTTAGAAGAATTGATTTGTTATAGGTAGAAGGGGCTAGAAGAGCTAGGGGTAGACCAAAAAAGGATATGGGTAGGAGTAGTAAGAAATGATTTAAGCACTAATTGTCTAACAGTGGTTATGACTTTAAATAGAACAGATTGGCAAAACAGGATTTATGTAGCTGACCCTATATAGTTGGGAACTTGGGATAAAGCATGGATTATGATGATTCTAATCCATCCATAATGAGTTAACTTCTTTTGACAAATGATTGGTCTTTCTTCTTCTGGGACTATATTCAATTAAGAATATGTTCACTATTACTTTTGTCACTCTAGGAGATTCTCAAAAGAACCACAATCCTTTTACCAGGATCTCCCAGCTCCATGCATTAATGGTAGTATGCCTCTATTGCCATAGTTTTGGTAAACCATCCTTACGTTTGTACCTTGAATTTCTGTTTAGTTCAATTGGTCAGAGTGTTGTGTTAACAACAAAAAGGTCATAATCCTCTACATTCAAGTTTTACATAGGCTAAACTGTTTAGATATTGTGGTTGTGGGTACAACTTACAATATTAATACCTATTCAATATTATATTCAAGCTTAATTCATCAGGTAATATGCATCCTACAAAATGGGCTTTGTTTGTGAATATTCTATTACGCTGAAATTGCCTAATTATGCTTTATAGAAAGGAAAACTCCACAATCCCCCTCCCCTCTCTCCATAGTGTCATTTCAGATAATATATTTCTCTTGTTTGCAGGTTGAAAGATCTTCATCAGAGGTGCACGAAAGAGATGGATGCATATGCAGGTTGCATGTATTACCATACCAATGAGTTTGATTTATGTCGCAAGGAGCAGCAAGAGTTTGACAAGGCATGTCCATGGAACGAGTAGTTGAGGAGATCTGTAATCTCAAATAATATGAAACAGTCTAGTGCAAGACACATTTTTGTTGCTATTTTTCTCTTAATTGATCATGTAGATGGAATGCTTTCTTTCCTTACAGTTATTGTTCTTGGCAAATGGTTGTTGGCCAATAAACAACAGTATGCTGTGCTGCAGCTGGTGTTGTGGTAATTGACATTTTACACGTCTCTGTTCAGCTATCTATCTGGAAGGATATTGTGCTTCATGAAGTGTTACAAAATGGCACCTACCAGTCACACTACAAATACAATGACATGGCCTTAGTGTCATTCAACTCTTTGTGGCAATTTGCCTGGAGGGAAGCCAGTCTAGTTGTCCGGGAGCTGCCAGTGGCAGTAGTTCAGGCCTTTGCAGCATCTCTAAGGTGGAGTCAGGATTTGATTTCAGGTCTTCGGTAGTACCAACCAGTTAGGGTGGCACATTGGACATGGTTGAGTGATTCATTGCTATCTTTTTTGAATCAAGACCATTGCTGAATCAGAGGTTATAATCATATGTTGGAAGAGAAGGGGGAGCTGAAGTAGTGTTTGAAATTTTGAATTTTATTTAGATGGTTCTCTGTGTCTGTGGATATGCTAATACATTAATCAGAGAGAGCTATCTGCAGTTCTGTTTGCAGAGATAGTGGGCTATTAAATTAATTGCTGAAAGCTAAAGCTTTCTTAGCCATAAAAGAGAGTTCTCTGCCATATCTAAGCATGCATAGCCTTTAAAGAGTGAGTTTTTTCCCCATTTTCAGGCATGAATTTGCGGCCTTTTGCTCAACGACAACCGCCACCATGGAGACCAAATTCTGTATATATTGTCCTTGGAGAAGAATATCTGTTGTTTTCTTCCTTTTTCATTTTTATCTTCTCGTCTTTTTTCCTTTCGCTCAGTTGGAAAGAATGCAGATGCAAATATGTGAAGTACAAAATAATACAAAAATATAAGGTTTTGCACTCTACATATATTTGCACTCCTGAGCCAAATTTATTTCTTCATGCGAATTGCGATCTACTCATTTCCTTTATCGAGTCTAGTGAAATTAAGATACAAAGTATAAGATGTGTACTGTAGTCCCATGAAGCAATCAAAAGAAAGCCCATTAAAAGAAGGCAACTAAAAGAAACGGAGTTGGATTTCTAGATGAGTAGATTTTACAAAATTAGAGACTTTTTGTTTTGGGCTATAGGGCGATTAATTAATGGTTAAATTGCAGATAAGTATCCTATATTTTGTGGTTAATTTTCACTTTTAGCACTCAAACTTTAAAACGTACCACTACAATACTTGAACTTCCGAAAATTATCTGTATCACATGATGATATATGCAACTTAAAATTTTTAAAAAATTTAAAATTACCCTTTTTAATATTTTTCAAATCATTTTACCTTGATTGTCTTCCCTACTAACAACAAGAATTACTTATCTTCTCTGGCAACAATGGCAGTTTAAAACCCCCCCTTCGTTATGGATTCAATAACTGAAGAAGGATTACAAAAATGGCAATCTAAATTCCTTTTATCTTGTAACAACATCATCTTCTCTAATGACATTTTTCCATGTAACTTCTTCAATGGGAAATACTAGTTCATCAACATTAAAGTTAGGGCATAAAGTAAACAATGGTGCTCAATTGCAATGAAAAGGGATTTGAATATTTGCTATTTTGGTCATTTTAAAATTATGCTTCTACCACCTATTCAAAATTTGAAGGGCATTTGTGTCTTTTCATGCATCATCTAACATCAATTAATGATTTTAGACTAAGGTGGTGTTCGAAACAGGGGCGCGTTCACGATATATTCCATTTTGAAATGCACCATGCCTTTATCTCATTGTTCAGTTGCACCATGGTGTGGACCAAACTACACTATATCCTGGAATGGCCCATTCCATATCTTAAAATCTTGTCCATGGTTAAAGCTCATGGACCTTTCCACACCACAATGGCCAATTCCAAAATTAATGATTCCTTACTTCACATAATGTATTTTATCCAAACTCGATAATTCCAAAATCGATGATTCCAAAATCATGGACCTTTCCTTTAATTTTTATAATTTGTATAGAAGTTATCTTTTTTCTATAAAGTTATTTGATTTTATAAAAAGATATCACTCTTGGAAAATTACTAATTTTAATATAATTTTGAATTAATTTTTATGATTTACTTCTGCTTTTTTTAACAAATGGTTTTCACTAATTATCTTAATTATTCATATTATATATAAATGCATTAATTTGTATTTTTCATGGTTAAATTATATTATATTATTTATAATGTATATTACTTAAAAATAGAATATTATTTATTTTTTATTAATAGCATAATTATCTTACACGTTGTAGGTGAGATGCATGGAACCAAAGCATAGAGTGTGGACTGAACTGCACCACACCTTGCAAAACGCCTATGAAAGTGTGGTGTGGTTCAATCTACCCATTTTTATCCACAGTGCAGAACAACTATATTGTTGACCTCCCAATTTCTCATCTACATTATATAACACCCTCTAAAGTGACCGTCTTGTAAGAATAACACGTTCTAAAATGAAACCAGATTAGCGAAATGCTTTAACTATGTAGTAGGTTGTGGAACCAATAACAGTCCTCCACACCAGTGATAAAAATACATGGAACCCAAACCAAATGTTTCTATGAAAAAAAAACTCTTCGGCCCAAAGAATGATATGCTCTATAAACGAATGAAAGAATTAATTTTAGATAAATTACACGGACCCCCTGTACTATGGGGTCAATGACAAATACCCCCTTAAACTTTTACATTGTGACAAATACCCCCTCGACTGTTAAGTCAAATAACAGAATGTGTTAATTACCAAAATACCCCATAAGCTTTCTCTATTTTCTTTTTCTTACCATTCTCTCTCAAAACCTAATTGACCAAAAAAAAAACTTTTACATTGTGACAAATACCTCTTTATCCCTCCCTGCACGACAAATTTTTGGTCATCGAAGCCTGAATTGTCAACATTCACTCTGGAGGAGACACAGAGACCAGACTACATTGTTATTTGAGGAGAATCAACCCAGATGAAGAGATATTGGGCTTGAGTAGGAATGTATGTGTCATGTGTCTTAGGAGAATTCACCCCTAAAAGCTAGTTATTAGAGGGAGGAAACCCAAGTACATATTATACCCCACAAGAACATCCCATATTACCGATGTGGGATACCTCACATTAGCATCCCATACTACCCATATGGGACAAATGGATCGTAACATTTTGAAGCCAATTTTGGTTAAGGTGATGATCATGGTAAGATTGCGTGTTGGATTGGCAATGGAATGGTGAGATTGGGGCCTCCTAATCTTCTTTCAAAAGTTCATTGATGGGGAGTTGTTTAACCTCTGAAAGAAACAACCTAGGAAGAAGCTAGGTATTAGATTTATAGAAATTGTTTTAAATTTTTTATTGTTCTTTTGTGAATATTTCAATTTTTTATGGGTAAATTACACGAACTTGACCTTGATTGGTTCTTCCGATTAATATCTAAGTCACCCTCACGGCCTCACGTGAAGAATATGGTTTACATTCATGCGTCTTTCTGCAAGAGCATGAGGCTACTATACCCACTGGTTTCCGGGAGCACCAATGAGGCAGCGAGGATGATATATCACTCGATGGAAGGTGGTGAAGATGATTTTGCAAGTTAAAGAATAAAAAAGGTAGAATTAAATTTTAAAAGGTAGTTTGGGCATTTAGACAATTTTAAAGAGTGAGGGGAATCTATTAGGGGTGAGCATTCCGTTTATTTGATTACAAAGTTTTAAAAATCGAAATAAAAAAAATAAAACTGAAATTAAATTACAAGAAAATTAAAATAACTGAAGCTGAAATTTTCAGTTATTTCGGTTAAAATTAAATTTCATTAAAACACATAAAATATTGTATATTATAACATATATTATGAAACTGAATTTCATTATAATATACTATATATAATATATTTATATAAATATATAAATTTTTAATTCTGAAAACAGAAACTGAAAACTGAAATTTCCAAAAACCAAAATCAAAATCTTCGGTTCAATTTTTTTATTTTTAACCGAATAAGGTTAACTGACCCTGGGAGTCAGACCGTCGGAGTGTAATTTACCCATTCCTCTTTTGGTAATAAAAAATATATACATGATTCCGATTCCGTTGCCGGGACTCGAACCCGGGTCTCTCGGGTGAGAGCCGAGTATCCTAACCAACTAGACTACAACGGAATTACAATCGGAAAAAAGAAATCAAGAATTCATTTGGAGGCAATCGTATGCTCTTATACTTACTGTATAGTGATTTGTCTACTTCTGGTAATGTTCCTCTTTCTTATTTTTCTTATAATCTTAAATGCTTCGGTTGAAGGTTATTTACTTGTTTTATTTCTAAATCCGTTTCCCTAAGCATCTTCATTCCGAAATTATCCACTCATTCATTGGCTAAGATCGATAAAGGAATGATCTTTTGAAAGCTTAATTTCGTGCCTTGACACGGTTGGCAGGTTCTAGAGTAAGATTTCTTCACATGTATCTCTTGTTTTCTTACTCTCCATTAGGAAACGTTATTCTCTTCGGAAGCTTTGTTTGTTTGTTTTGCAGAATAGGTTTTTGAGTGTTAATAGGTCTCTCTTTCTGAATTCTGCGGTAGTCGCATACGTGCCTTGTTGATGCAAACTCTCTACTTTTGCCTCTGTCTCTACTTTCCTCATTCATATTGTAACTGTTATATCTTAAACCTAGGTTTTCGACGTATTTTCACCGGTTTCCTAACCACGTTGTTGCACTTGCATATCCATCAAGAAAAATGAATAAATAAACTTCAAAAACAAAATCTACTTGAGTATGAAAAGAGAAATTTTGCCTGAAGTACCAACATCCAGAACAAAAATCAGATACCCACTCTACAAAGCACTTGATGAAAAAAATGCAGAAAACTAACTATTATTCATACTGTAACCCCCCAGCTTAAGAGAAATAGTAGAGGCGTAATATACATACTTCTTATTTTCCTATAAAAGAACCTACCGCACATACAAACTTAAAATTACCTCTATTGAAGAGTTTGTGTGAAGCATGTTTACTTTACTTGAATATTTGAATATACGGTAATTAAGCTTTGGTTGAATAGTTCTTGCAATTGATTTTGGTATATTGTTTATACATAAACAAATTATATCAGTATATTGTTCTCCACTTAGCATAAGAATGAAAAAATTGTTTGTATTCTTCTATTAGAAAACTAATGCTTCTTACAAAGCAAACGCCAGAAACTACAAGTTAGTGAAGCCTAGAGGGCATATGAAAATCGTAGTTAGAATACCTGAGTATATACTTGAATATTCATCTGTTTGTGTTAGTCAGACTGGTTTAGCTGTACAACCTAAATATTTTTGTTTGATATTCTAGAAGTACAATAATTAATGTAAAACCTTGGCTTATGAGTTAATTGCTGGCTTTGTAAATAGACCAAATTAGGATCTATTTGAATAGTGGTGTGAGAACAAGGATTTGTGACTTCAGGTTATATTTTCTTAATCTCAGTAATACATTGACTACATTTGCTCCCTGCTTTAGATTGCCTTACAGCAAGGGTTCATCTTATATTATCATTCATAAAGCATTATGACTGTTATTGGCAGAAGAAAAGGCTATTTGATTTGTGCTTTTCCCAGTTATCTGGCCCCCTTTCGTTATTGACTGCTTAATGGGATAAGCAACTGAACTGAACTCAACTAAGGGCCCTTTTGGAGGGCTGAAGCTTTGGTTGAGTTGCTTTCGTTGAAGTTCCAGCTTATTGGGTAGGCTATATGATTCCTGTTCATGTACCATATCCAATTATCCATTCTATAATTCTATTCTGTATCATGTCCATTGTTAAATTATGAGGCATCAAATCATTTATCAGTACTTCAACCATGTCGTCTATTAGGCCTCTCCCTGGCTTTTCTAGATCCTTAAACTTGCAACAGATCAATTCTTACTGATGCTGTAGATGGAAGTTGTCATTAAATGGTATTATCAGTATTTCCTGATTAACAATCAACAGATTAATTTTAGTTATGAATAGTTATCTTTTTTTTTCTTTTTTCTTATTCTTTGGTAGGTGGATCTTAGATCTTAAAATATACTGAAGAGAAATTATAGGGAGTGATGGAGTATTACATGGTTTCTTTAAACTCTTAAGTTTTTTTATGATCGATAAATAAATATTTTATTAATCCAGAAAATAAGAGTTACAGTCGACCCAAGGAAAGGCACGAGATGTGACCTTTCCTTTAAGATTGATTACAGCATTACAAGATCAGATGAACATGAATACAAGGTAGCCCAAAATAAAGAGTCCCGAAAAACCCCCTGTTTAGCAAGTGAATCAGCCATAGACTTTGCCGATCTGCCTACCCATTGGACTCTAACTGTCATATTTTTTGCTTTTTTAAGGAGGTCTCTATAGCCCCAAATCACAGAGTCCAAATTCAGCAGCCATCCCACCACCACCTGAGAGTCCCCTTCAATAAACAAGCGCTCCATCCCTAACTGGTTTGCGAGCTGGATACCTTGTACCGCAGCAAGCAATTCAGCCCTTATAGAGTCACAGACCCTGAATATAAGGATATGACCATACTGTCTTTATTTCTCAAAACTACTCTTATACCCAAGGGTCCAGGGTTACCTCTGCTACTCCCATCAAAATTCAGCTTAACAAACTCCTCCCCAGGTGGCTCCCATTGTACCAAAAGTCTGTTTTTCCTGGTAGAAGTATTAGCTACTGCTAACCAGTTCCTCCAATAGGTCATCGAAGGAATAGATATCAAACAGGTTTAATGTTTTCAACCACCGAATTGCCCTTGTCAATACACAGTCCTTAACTTCTGACACGCTCCTTTCCTTTTCAGAAAAAATTCTGGTGTTTCTTTCTTCCCAGACAGTCCTCACTTTGTGTGCCACTCAAAAGTAGATAGACTGAACAACAAACTAATATCAGATGGCAGGTCCACCTAATCTCAAACAACCCAAAAATCCAATCCCATGGAGCTGCAACAAAGGAACAAGAGATCAGTAAGTGGTAACAGTCCTCACTTAAACTCTTAAGTTCCTTTTGATACATTTTTAATTATTTGATACAAGGACTTATCTGTTCATAGAGTTCCATTTCAAGCCTTTTATTTCCATTTCTTGGCTTGTCCTCAGCAGTGGATTGTTTCCCTTTAGCTTCAAAGTTGAATTTTGAACACTATTTATCCTCTTCATTTATTGCATACCTAGTTTCAATTATCCTATTAAAACTCTAACGCCATGTTTGGGATTTTGGGTTCATGGTATTTGGGGGCAGAAATAGAATTTAGTGCTTCCAATTCTACAAGTTCCAATCCAACATTTTTGTCAATTCTGGAACTCTAAATTTTTGCCTAGTTGCTTAAACATAGTCTAATTGTGGAGTTTAAAAAATAGTGAAGTTCCATGTTTTCAGAACAGAGCCAAATAAACTAAATCTTTGATCGAAGCAAAGGCCATTGGAAATTTAGTATCTTTAGGCTATTAGTACGATGCACAACTCGATGTAGACTTAATCCCAACTACCTGGGGTCCACTAAGGTTATGAGTACAAAGTCTTAAGGTTAATGGTGGCCAAGTTGGAAATTTTACCTAATTCTTATTTGCTGCAATTTTCATCTCTTTGCCACAAAACAGAGCTTGAACCATAACTAGAAGTTTGAGTCCTATTTTTTCTTTTCCTATTACTGAGAGATTAATGTCAGATAGAAAGACAAAGGGAAAGGAGGCAAAAATGAATCCAGATTTTTGATCTTTCAGCTCCTCCCCCATCAAGCAGGAGATTGAAAAGGACAATCTGAACAACCAAGCAAGAGAGAATATTTGCTTTGGATGGATGAGTAATATTTTTTGGTTTTCATTTTCTATTTCCCCCCTTTTTTCTAAGCTATGATCCCTCGGTCCTATAGAGAATGTTGTGTCTTGTCATTTTTTTTGATAGGAAATGGTAACTTTCATTAGATAAAACCATAAGAAACAACTGTCACCTTCCAAAGTAAAAGGTGACCCCTGAATAACAAAAATCTTACAACATTGCACAAAACAAAAACTCCCGATTCACCCCTTGTTTTGCTAGGTTGTCAGCTAAAGCATTTGCTGACCTCTTAGACCAATACACTTTTGCATCCAGCTCCCTTGTGAGGCTCAATAATTCCCTTACCTGTTGTCTAAGGGACCACCTTCCCAAACTATTTGATTGCAGCCAACCTACTACTAATTTTGAATCCCCCTCTACTTCCAACTATTGGAAACCCAATTGCTTGGCCCATCTGAGCCCTTGGAGGAGTGCCAAAACTTCAGCTCTAAGCAAGTCCCCCACACCTATTGGACCAGAATACAGAGCTAGGATTTTTCCTTCCGCATCTCTAAACACACCCCCTATTCCAGAAGGTCCGGGGTTCCCAATAGAGCTGCCATCAAAGTTCARTTTGACATGACACTGCAAAGGAGGGGACCAAACTGCTTGTATGGTAGGTGATGAAGTAGAAGATCTTGCTAAAATATTCCAGCCTCTAATCAAATCATTTGTGGAGACATCCTTGAACAAGTCAAGAGTTTTCAGCCAATGTTCTGCGTTGGTGGTGATCCCTTCAATAACTCCAGGAGCTGATTTTTTTTCCCTTGGAAAATCCTATTGTTTCTCTCTTCCCATACTGCCCACAAGATAGCTGCCCTCGTTGTTCTCCACATCACCCTTCCTTTTTTCTTTGGTTGTCGGAAAAAGCTAGGGTCAAATAAATCCGCTACACTTGTGGGAGAATTCCACCTACAATCAAAGAGAGAGGAGAACCAATCCCAAATTAGAGCACTAAAAGGACAAGAAATTAATAGGTGATTTCACCGTCTCACCATTCCTCAAACAAAGGCTACATACATGAGGTGACAAGCACCAATTTGGTCTCTTTCTTTGAAGCACCTCCAAGGTATTGATTTTTTGGAGAATCACTTCCCAACAAAAAGCCCTTACTTTTGGGGGGACCGGAGCGCTCCAAACTTCTTTAACAGGAAAAGAGGAAACTGGGTTAGAAGGAAGGACCAATGCATTGAAAAATGAAGAACAAGAAAAACTACTTGTAGAAGTTTCTGCCCAAACTCTACTGTCCGGAGAGGAGTGGTCTAGAAAAACTGAACTTAGAAGAGAAAAAATATCAATTGCTGAATCCACTTCTGAGTCCCTCAAACCTCTCCTTAGTCCCAAATCCCAAGAATCCTCAGAAGTACGAAAAGAAGAGATAAATTGAGATTTTTTCAAGAAAGGGAATAAAGGTTCGGAAATCTATCCTTAAGAGGAGATTCCCCAATCCACAAGTCCTCTCAAAAAAGAATTTTATTACCCACACAAGCATCATATCTGATGAAAGGATAGGAGAAAGGCAAGATACCAACAATATCTTTCCACGAAGAAAACCGCGAAGCCCTTGGGTTGAGTCCAGCGTCCCATCCATTTGTTGCCATTCCATGAATACTTCTTATCACCTTATGCCATAGACTCTCTTGCTCCTTAGGAAACCTCCATAACCATTTGCCTAACAAAGCTGCATCTCTTTGTGGAAAGGTAAAGTTATGTCATTTATACTGTATTCAAAAGGCAAAAGCCCCCTATACAACAAGGTGCTACACACTAAGTGTATACATTAAAAAGTAATGTCATGACAGTTTACGAAAAGGAAACTAAAATAATAAAAAAAAAGATTTGCCTTTAAATAGCCTGTTAGTTGTCAATCAATAATTAATTGAACTGATGAATTATCCTTTCCTCTCTACCCTAAGGTTTTAGCTATATGAAAGTTTTATTTTCCAGTTGCTATTTATTTTCTAGGTTTTTCTGTGTTGCAATTATGATGATGTTTTTTATGGTTAATTTTACAGATACTTTTGATCCTGAGTTGTGGTCAATTCTTGAATTTGCTATTGACTTGCATTATATGAGCTCGAAAAGATCCTCTTTGGCCAAAGGTGTGTTTTCATGATCTCAATCCATACTTTTCTGCTCTTATGTTTTCAAATATTTGATTCTCAAACATGTATCAGGACTTGTGTTGCTGGTGTTAGGATCCCGTGGCATGCTTTGGATTGTTTCAATGCTATAAACCAAACAAAATGAACATTTTGATGATTGACTTAGCGCTACTTGTAAACATTTCATGGTTAATTGATGGACTCTCATTGGACAACAAATAGCAATGTTTGTGTTTTACATGCATTGATGGCTAAAATGTGTGGCAAGGCAATTAGGTTGGTTAAAGGGATCACCTTCCAGATTCAAGTAGGTTTCTGATGTTCTCATTAATGGCTGAATGGAATACTGGGTTAATTGTCAACTGATTTCCATTGGAAACTAAGAAGAATTTTACACATTTTTAAAATTGACCAAAGAAAAACTAAAGAATTTCAAATTAATCGAACAAAATGCTTCAAAAGAATCAGTTATGAAATTCATTTGGGCACTTAAAGACTTCTACAATTTTATGCTGGATTGAGGAACTAGCTTTTGCAAAAGCTATGGAATCATCTAGGCAACAGTTAAAGATGTACTCGAGGTATCTAAACTCCAAGAGATTCCTTGCAGAGGACCATTATGGAATTGATAGTAATGGGGTAGTCGTTCCTTTGTTTGGTTATTTTTTCTAGATGGAAAGAGAAGTTAGAGTGTTTTATCAACTTTAGATGGTGATCTCATGAAACCAAGAATGGCCAAGATATTGCTCCAACATATAACTGAAAAATGAAAAGTAGGAGTAATTATAGATAGGAATACAACAGTAATAACCTCAATATCTTACTTGCAGTTGCACCAGTAAAAGATCAGATAATTATGGATGACCCTCTATAGATTATTAATTAAAATCTTTAGTGTAGGTTAAGTGAATCAAAATATATTAAGAAAATTTAACTGATCTTGCTTGCTTTAAGGACAACCTTTTCTTTATTGAATATGACTATTGCTTTGAACTGCATTTGATTTTTTTAGTGGACTCTGTTCTCATTCAAATTTTCTTTTTATGATTGTCTTGAATAAAAACTAATTATCTGAGAAGTAGCTAGAGTTACAATTTTTCTCCCTACACACTAAAAACCAATCTAAAGAACGCAAGCCTTGCATCTTCAGTTCAAAGGAACTTAAATTCAGTTGGTGCATAAGAGAAAAAGGTTAAACCCTTAAATCCAGAGGTCTTAAGTCAAGTAACCGCAAGCCCTTTCAAGTGCCTTTTTAATCTTCAAATTTGTTTCACCATCAAGATTTGCAGTTTGTTTTTCTTATTCCCTTGAATAAATTTATGGAATTAGAAAATTGATCCCAGAATTTGGCATCCTCAATCTATTAATCAAGTCAAATTAAATTTTGATGGTTGTAGTTATGGAACTACAAGAACACAGGTATTGGGTACATGCCCCTTGGATTAGTGTGTTGTTTCTACTTATCTATTGGAACTGATTGTGTATGTAGGAAGGGTGGCAATGGGCTTGATCTATTTCTATTCTGGAAGAGTAGCTCCTTCATTTTGTACTTAACATCTATGTTCCTAGTGTTTATTAAGGCTATGCTTGGTTTGAAGGAAGATGTAGGGAAAGGAAGGGAAACCTTTACAACCCTTGTATTGGTTTCTGTGTCTTTCCCTTCCTTTCCCCACCTTTTCCTTCGAACCAAACATAGCCTAAGTGAATCAGAAATAGAGCTAGATCTTGCCCTAATATCTAATTTAATGGGACTAATTTAGAATGACAAGTCAAGTAATTGCAAACTCTTTCCTTTCACGTTTGTTTGTTACTTAATGAGCTTTATCCCGAGTGCTTGTTTGGTTCTGATATATTGAGCATGGGAACATACGTGCCCCACCACTAGTTATGTTAAAAAAACAGAATTATTTTCTGAACCATGTTTTGTTGCCCCCTTTTGGGCCTAGCAACTCTCGCCTTCTAATACTCTGCAGTTATGCTAGGTTCTCACTGTCCCAAGCAAAATGATGGCTCTGAAAGACATAGTCCCAGCAGCACTGAATGTTATAAATGCACAATTTGTATTGCTCGATAAAGCAAAGATAACAATGGAAGGTCAACAAAAAACATGCTTGGCACTAGTTGCAGATGAGACTGCTGCTGTTCACTTTCAGCTATGGGGGACAGAGTGTGATGCCTTTGAGCCAGGTGATATAATCCGTCTGACCAATGGCATTTTCTCTTACAATCGGAACAATCTTGTCTTGAGAGCTGGCAAGAGGGGGAAAGTAGTGAAGGTGGGGGAGTTCACTTTGGCATTTGTTGAGACACCCAATATGAGTGAGATCCGTTGGAGTCCTGACCCAAATAATTCTAAGAAATTCATACAGGAGTCTGTAATTTCTCCATACTCACGGATTTTTCCACCAATGCCTTAGAATGGTCAAGAAAAACCTATAGATCAGATGAGATGGTTGGGTTCAGTTTTTCTTTTTCCTTTTTTGAATTAATAGAAACTCGTGTCATCCCCAAGCTGACCCTAAAAATTAAGAACGGATTTTGTAACGTGGGACTGTGGACCAACATAAAAATTACTATGGTTGGGTTGGACTCAAACTGGGTCAGCCTACTTGGGAATATCATATGATTCCTTTTTTCATTCAACATCACATCAATCCTTCTGACAAATTATTTTTTAAATGATATTGATGTTCTTTTTCTTTTATCCATTTCCTTAGTGGGACCATTACTTGAATTATGTAGATCCAATAAATAATGTCAATATGGTTGAGCATGTTTATATGCTTTCAAGTCTGTTGGCGATGCTCTTAATTATCTAACCTAACTTAGGATTAGAGGCAGAAAACGTCACCATTGATTATTGAAATGTGAAAGTTACAAAAGAAGTTGAATAATATTTAGCTGAGCCTGAGCGCCTGAGCCATTAAACAAATTTTCTGAGCCTGCATGATCAAGCCTCAAGCCACAGTGATCAACTAACTACTAGCAAGAAAATTCTCTTTTTCCTTCTGAGAGGAATGCGAATCATACTCCTGCCAATGGAGATCTACTCTCATTGCTGCTTTTAAAGGTTGAATGGTCAAACAGCAACCCGGTCTCCAGCCCTAGAAAGTTTAGCTTAGTTTTTGTTTCTATTTTTGTCCTTTTTGGTGGCTTCATGGGGCTCCACCCCCTTAACCCCCCAACCCTAGTGGCAGTGGGATTTGAATATTTGATCCCAAATCTCAGCTCCAGTGAATCAAATATCCTACCAATTTAGCCACCATCAGTTGGCACCCAATATGGGCTTTGTCAAGGCAACGTGAGACCGCCAAATCTTTCAGAAGATGAACGATGAACTGTGAAGGTAAGTTACATGACAACTTTTGGTGATTTAGGAGCCAAGATTTCTTGGAAGCAAAAGTATGCATAACTTCCTACCACACATTGGGAATAATATCTCCCGTACATGTATGTAAAATTCAAGTGGAGATGTTCTCAATGTACAACTGGGTTCTCATGTTTTTAGAGTATGTGCCGAGTTTTTGCTTGCAGGGAATCCCGTCCTCCGATTTAGACTTCTTTAGGACCCAACAGCTAGAGTGGTCCATGATTCTTGCATCTATTGCAGTTAAAATCACTTTCAGAACCCATTCAATTCGTTGGTTGTGATGTGAAATTATATTAAGGCAATTGAAGTGACTAGATATTTCAATTATGTAGCAATTGAAGTGACTAACTTTTCATCTGTCAAGCATGTCAAATAAGGGTGGATTTGAGCCGAGTCGAGCTGAATAGCTAGCTATTCAAGCTCATCTCGCCAAGGTAGTACGAGGCTCGGGCTCGACTCGAGTCAAAAGCTTGTAAGCTCGATCTCGACTTGAGAAAAATGTCTTATAAAAATAAAAAAATTATATATAAAAATATTTTTTATTTGATATTTAAAAAATTAAGAATTATAATAATTAATTATTATTATATATATAAATAAAAATATTATATATATAATATTTTTATTATACATATTATTTTCTATATTATTATTATTATTATTATTAAATGTATGTACGTAGCTATTTGATCTCGACTCGTGAGCCTCACGAGCCGAGCCGAGCTTTTCACGAACCAAGTTCGAATAGCTCATGAAGAGCTCAACTCATGGCCACCCCTAATATCAAATCATTGATTCTCTAAGCTGTAAAAAGTTTCATGTGTAATCTTAGTGAAAATATGTAGTGCATAAACTATACTATAGCTAAAAATATAAATCGGTGATAAAATGCTACTCATAATTGACATCTTTATGTTGTTGAAGTTTTGATGGAAATTATACCTTATGAAACGTGAAAGTACATCTTATGAAATGTTTTTTTTTGATAGATAAGTACATCTTATGAAATGTGAACCAATTAAAAGTAGACTATATGATATCTTAAACATGATTAGTTAAAATCTTGATTTAATGTATCACATATTCATCAATGCATTGTAGTTAAAATTGTCAATTCATTCGAAAACAAACATTGGGGAAAGATATTAACCTTTAGAAATCTACATCAATCCTAATTCTTTTTATTTCATGCAACCTGAAAACTAATTGTACATGGTATGGTACTTAGAGCCTTGGGCACAATACACTTAGGCTCTGTTCGTTTTTTGGTAAGTTACTTACCTGGGTAAATGTAGTTACCTGGGTAATTTTTTCTTGGGAAACACTTACCCAGGTATGTGTATTTACCCATGTTCTTTTATTTTCTAAGTAAAAAAGAAAATGACAATTTTAGCAATAAAAATCCATTATCAAATGGAGCATTTTTTGTCCCATTTAAGTGTTGGAATCTTTCCCCCTAGGCGGGAAAGTTATTTACCCACCTAGGAGATGGGCATACCCAGGAAAAAACAACATTGTATTCTTGGTCAATGGGAACCAAAATCCCACTGACCAACTTTCCCCCTCTCAAAATCCAAAAAAAGAACACCCCCTTACTGTATGGGCAATACATTTCTAAATACAATTTTATATTGAACTTATGTATGTGTTTAAGTTAATTAATATGAGATCAAATCAGCCCGTCCCACAACACATTCCCTCTATGTATTGGAAACATCTCTTGATGATGACATCATCATTTTTGGTGTTATTATCAGGAGATGTTCCCAATACATGGCAGGGATGTGCTGTGGGACATTGTGGGGGGCAATCTTGTGGGGGACTGATTTGAACTCAATTAATATAGACTTCAAAATCATAATAATGTTTAACTTAACACAAGCTAGTTGATTGAGCTGTAAAAATTCTATCACTAACATATCTGTAGCATTCATCTGGATTTTCCTACCAAATCTATACATACCTTCACACTGTACCTAATGTTTCCAAAACTGTCCAGCCTTTCTGAAACACTTTTGCAGTACCCACAGTTCGAACCTGTACATAAAACAAAAGAGACACGATGGATCCTTGGGAGAGAGGACAAATAGGAGTCCACACTCCACATGCTCCTCAATTCCTCATATCTATTGGTATTGCAGATGAAGCACTTTCAGGACCCCTCTAACTTGTTTGACTGTAAGCAAACCAAAAGAGTGAAGGTGACAGGGCTCCCACCACAATATTATGGTGAGAGTGACTAAAAACTTCCCTGTAGTCACTCAAAATCACAATTTTGCTGTGAAGAGTAAACAACTGTTGCTTGCACGCAGCTTCTTAGTTTTAGTTGGCAGACTTACTTTGAAGTTTGAACAATCACTCTACCTTTCATCAGACGCCACTGAATCACATCTCTCCAGTTTAATTAGAGCCGTTGATTGATGCAAGTGGTAGATTACCTACCAAATTACACCAATTTTAGCAAGAAAGGTTTAGCTTTAGGCTTTAGCATACTTTAGTTTGGTTGGTTATCAAGTGCAGATTTTACCAAAAAAAAAGTATATGGGAGTATTTTGGCTCAGCTTCCAAATTTTTGAGTTTTGTGTTCAGGTAAGTATGAATGGGTTATCTAAATGACCTAGAAACATCCATTCCAGAGTCAATAAAGAAATATAGCACCAAAGACCTTAAGATGTGTTCTACTCTCAATCAACATTTGACGTTGGAATAGGCTGAATTTGGATGCAGGGTATTAGCTTTTATCATATTACCAGTCCAAAGGGTCCCCTATCTGGTAAAAGGGAAGAATTTTGGGCAGCTAGTTTACTTTTCAATTTCTTCTGCTTGGAAAAGCAAACATAGCCTGTGGCCCTCAATATCTCCGAGAAGCAAACGTTTGAAAGTTGAAACCCCCCCAATGACACACTAACGTGATACCACCATTATTTTGAATTCAAATCATTGATTTTCCAATTGATTGCAGAGTCATACCCACGTTTATAAGAAAGTAACGTGTTTGCAATGGATATGATCTGAGAAGGCCAACTTTGGCTGAAACCTGAAAACGCCAAAGGTTGGATCTACGTCTAGTGTTCACTTCTCCCAAGACCCCCAGAGTCTAGGAGACTAGGGCTATCTCTCTTTAGTTTTCATCTTAACCTGGTGTCTAGAACCATCTCTCTACTAATGGGCCTCATCTGCGCATCATGCTCTGTTCCCACCCTGAATACCCTGATCATGTAATACAGAGAGAGAGAATCTTAACCCTGCTGGCTTTATCACAATTATATGGGTTGGCTGCATGAATCATGTTTTGCTATTCTGTTATGTTTTAATGTCATTATATTGATATATAGAGATGTATTGAATATAATGTCATTATATTGATATATAGAGATGATTTAATATAATGTCATTATATTAAATCATACATTTTTATACTTTTTTGTCTTTTTTTAAATTTTATTTTTATATATAATTTTCATTAAAAAAAGGGTTCTTGAAAACACCTATAAACAGGTATATCAGAACTCTAAAGATACCATACGATATACCTGACATGAGATATATTGTATCGATACTTTGATTCTTATGTGAGTGATTATTATTATTTTTTTTTTGTCTATCTCAGCCCCTCTAACCCCTTCAAGTTTCAACCATATGGGGTTGAAAGCCTTTATTTATTTTCAGTTATACTTGGTTTTCTTATTTGAGTTAGGATACCAAATTAAAAATTGATTCCTAAGCTGACTTGATTCAATGGTATAGTGCCAAGTCTCCTTCCATATTTGATCCATTTTAGATCAGTCCACATCTACTAATTTTTCATCCACACTATAGAATACTTCCTAAAATAAACACTAGCGAGGGAGCATCCTGTCGTCAGAATCCAAACAAGCAAGAAAAGAAAGTTACCAAGGATAACCATGGGACATCTCTTCATTGTCCTCTTGACCTTTATTTGCAAGCCAATTCACCTCAACATTTCTTTCTAGATGGGTGTGGTTGTATGATGGAGAGGAAACCTTTAGGCTATGTTTGGTTTGCAGGAAAAAGTAGGGAAAGGTAGAGAAACCTTTACAAACATTGTATCATGGTTTTCAAAACTGGACCGGATTGGATGGTTGGACCGGAAAAACTAGGAACCGGTCAGGTGATTAATTCCATTTTCCCCAAAAATCGGATTTTCCCCCAAAACCATTGATTTTGGTCAGCGAATCGCTGAATCGGGCGATTAACTATTCGAAAGGTTTTGATCGTTTTTATTTTTTTAATTTTTTTGCCAAAACGGTCTTAGCATTTGATTCAAACGGTCAGACCGTTTGACCTGATAACCGGACCCCTGATTGATTCGGTCTTCAAATCGGTTTTAAAAACCATGCCTCGTATAAATTTCCCTACCTTCCCCTTCTTTTCTCTACCTTTTCCTTCAAATCAAACATAGCCTTAGAGATTGTCGGGCTTGTATCAGAGAAATGCACTTCCATGTAGGCTTAACTTATCTTTGAGCATTTTGATCACAAAAAGACAATCTCCTTCAATGATAAAAAGGCTAGCTTATGGGCTTCCCAGGCCACTCAATGTTCAGCAATTGAGATGGTAGAGGTCCCCATGTAACCCATTTTTGCTTTTAAAATTTAGCCATTATGATTTCTTGCAATGAATCAAGGGCACTCCTTCCATTTGTAGGTTTGGCCATTATGAATTTAGCCTTTTTTTTTTCAAGGTTTGGCTACTCAAATACATCAAGGAAAAGACACAAGGAAAAGCAATGGCTTTGCTGGTCTGCTTTATATATATTTGATTGTGATTTGTGATTCAAATGGATGAACTTTCGGTGGACATTTGCCACCTGGCGAATAGAATTTCCTTTTTTTTTTTTCTTTCTGATAGAAATGCAGTAATGCACTGTAAAAGTGCGAGGTGGTGCAATCCAATAATAGTCGAACAAATCTTGTCAAATTCTGCACTCCCCAGTCCCCAGCTCTTAAATTCGAACATGAAAAATTCTCAAAAAAAAAAAAAAAAAAAAGAGTGAGTGACAGCACAACACGTTGTGACTTGTGAGTGTGAACAGTTCACGCGGTTAGGTCAGGGCTAGCATAGAAAACAATGGATCTAGAACTTTCCTTTAATTGTCTGACCTTTGAAAACTGTCTCAGTGCCTCGCCTCGCCTCAATATAAATGGTTTTGAATTTTTTGAAGGTCAGCAAAGATAGGCAGTAGTTATTAGTTAATGTTTATAAATACAAATAAATATACTTCTCCAGAGCATTAATCTCACGTAGATGACATCATGGCAACCTTAGATTGGAATATTTAGTGGGGCCACACAATAAACCCTGAACACCAAATTTTCTTTCAAAAGAATATTGAGTTGAATCGTGACCAATCTCAACCCTCTCATCATCACTAGAAGCATCAGGGTGGGCCATAGGCAAGAATTTTATCAAATAAATGATCCTAACTCCATCTACTCATTTGCAGCTGTTGATCAAATCGGCTGGCTTGATGGGCAAAAACCAACAATTTTCCCATCTAGAAATTACATCTATCAAGATTTTAAAATTGTCGTTGACATGAATGGATAGAAACCAGTAAACGTTATTCATTTCATTTGAGCCCCATATCGTTTTCCCCCCAAACCGTTAAACCCATTAATCATGACAGTGGAACCATTGACCCATTCAATGTTTTTATAATAATTATTCTTTTTTTCCAATTTAATTTTTCTATAACATTTTCTTAATAATATTAAAATTGCATCTCGTCTAGAGCTAATCAATTTATGTGCCAATAGAACCATCATTCAATTACCTCATTCAATGTAGATGACATGTTTTGAGCCTATTTTATACTTTTTTATTTTTTAAAAAACTATGAGACCAAACGGTTAAACCATTAACCCAAAATTTGACGGTTAAAACAGTTATTGATTGTAGATCGGTTTTTAAACATTGTATAAAAGTATCTATTAAAAAAAAATGCATGTATAAAATTTCAAGTAGAGAACGTGCCATGATTAAGATTCAAAACATACCAAAATAGGAGTATATACTATAATCAAAGTAAATAATAGAATACTGGTAAAGCAAGAAAGTAAGAAAAATGAGCATGAATTCTATGAATTCTAAAGCAATGTGTTAAATGATTAATATATGAAAGAAAGATCCTATTGAAGTGAATTGTTTAATAAAGCCTACATGATTGTCCGTGTGATGCAGAAACCACTATACCAATATAAATGAGAAAAGAATAGAAAAGAGAAAATATTAAGTAATGGATGATGAAAGATAGGTTTGACACGCTGGTGAAGAACCTTCCAGCCTTGCTAAGGTCTAGAATCAGCCTACAGCCCAAATGCCAAATGATAGTAAACGATTAAAAAATTTGGTGGTTTTGAATTTTTGGGTTCTAGATAAATCGGGCAATTTTTTATAGGTCCCAAGGATCTGCAACTGCTTGGAGCTAATGCACATGGCACCAATCAGAGGGGTTAAAGTGTTCAACATTTAACAGGAGGCTGGGCTGATTGACTTTGTGGACTGGAATGAAGAGAAAAACCCTGTGGGACCCATATGCGAAAATGGCCGCCAATCACCAAAACAAGGGCAGGATGTGCTAGAGAAGACTTTCGTCTTGGGTGGGAAGAAATGTGAAAAACAAGCATTGATTAGCAACAGCCAGCACGGTGGGTGGTGGTTTGGGGTATGGCAGAAGAGCCTCCTTCAGTCATTCTTCAAATTGAGAAGACAGAGGGGAGCTCTGCTGTGTCCTTCTTGTTATTCAATCTTCTTCATTGAATTGAAGGAAGGGAAAGAAAACGCTGGTTTCCGATGGTTCGACTGTGGATTTCAGCGCTTCAATTATCAGAGCTCTTTGTGAGCTCTATGATTCATTTGTTATATGGGTTTTACATATTCAGCACGGCTGTGGCTTCAGACATGTCACAAGCTCTAAATGAATGTTTTAGGCCTAATGTGAGTGTTGGGATAAAAGAGGTGGAGTCTAGAGCAATAACCAAGAAGAATGATGACTTGCCTCCTATTGTATTAGTTCATGGGATCTTCGGATTTGGCAAAGGGGTATGTGACACATAATTTAAATTTGATTAACTGGGTTGTCACTTATTCTTCTTCCAAAACATATTTCTTCTCGAAATCGTTGTTGGCTTGAGCTTTTTTAATGAAAATTTCATTTCTTTTCTTCTCTGGGCTATAGAGGTTAGGAGGATTATCTTATTTTGCGGGAGCAGAGAAGAAGGATGAAAGGGTTCTGGTGCCTGACTTGGGTTCCTTAACCAGCATATATGATAGGTGGGTGCTCGAAGCTTTGAAGCTGTAAAATTAAGGTTACATCCTTGGCCTTCTCCTTTGCCTTTGTGACTGCTGCATGTTCTCTACTCCTTGCAAAAAATAAAAGGGTTTTCTGTTTCAGGGCTCGCGAATTGTTTTATTACCTGAAAGGTGGGCAAGTTGATTACGGAGAAGAGCACAGTAAGGCTTGTGGGCATTCGCAGTTTGGAAGGGTTTACGAGCAAGGTTTGGAAGATCGAGCCCAATTCTTATTCTTTTCTTCTATCTATGCTTAAATGAAGGGATTCTGTTTTATTGGAATTTTAGTTCATTCTCCATTTCTACTTTGTTTTTTGGCACGCAGGTCATTACCCGGAATGGGATGAAGACCATCCCATTCACTTTGTAGGACATTCGGCTGGAGCCCAGGTGGTTCGGTTGTTGCAGCAAATGCTAGCAGACAAGGTTAGTCCATTTCAATGTCCAGAGTTAAATGAGAAGAGAAAAGTTAAAAATCACTGGTGATGGGCCTTCAGAGCTAATTGTTAGGGACTGCTTTCCTATATGATTTCAGGCTTTCAAGGGATATGAGAACACTTCTGAGAACTGGGTACTAAGCGTAACTTCATTATCTGGCGCATTTAATGGGACGACAAGAACCTATTTGGATGGGATGCAGTGAGTTTCATTCAGAACCTATCTTACTTCGCGTCTTTGTCATGGATGTCCCATATCCAAAACCTTTGAGCCTCAATTTCTTATCTTTTTCTTTTTCTCAGGCCAGAGAATGGAAGGTTTATGAAGCCTATTTGTCTGCTTCAGCTCTGTCGCATAGGTGTGATAATCTATGATTGGATTGACATTCCCTGGCTGAAGGCCTACTACAATTTTGGGTTCGATCACTTCAACATGTCCTGGAAGAAAATAGGAGTTTCAGGCCTTGTGGATTGCCTCTTGGGTAACACGGGTCCTTTCGCCTCAGGTGATTGGATCCTTCCTGATCTTACAATTCAAGGATCCATGCGACTCAACTTCCATCTCAACACTTTCCCCAACACATTCTACTTTAGCTATGCTACCAAACGCACCAGGAAGATCATGGGGATGACAGTGCCTTCTAGCATACTTGGCATCCACCCTTTGCTTTTTATCAGAGTATTGCAGATGAGCCAATGGCGACACCCTCCAGACGTCCCCCTTCCCTATAAAGGATACTGGTGGGTCTGTTTTTCTTTGCTATGTTGGTTTCTTAAGAAGTTAAGATGTAGATTTCCCAACAGTTTGTTTTATCCAAGCTAATTGTGTCATTCTTCCATTCCACCCTGTTAAAATGTGTGCAGTGATGAAGATTGGCAGGACAATGATGGGGCACTTAACACCATTTCCATGACACACCCTCGCATCCCCATTGAACACCCAAGCCGTTTGGTTGTGAATGATTCTGAATGCCAGCCTCTACAACCGGGCATATGGTATGTTACACTTCCTAGCATCATCTTTTCAGTCACAACCATCACCATCATGTTTGGTATTGCATAACAGTAATAGTATACAGCTATGGGTGGGCCTCATGCTCATCTTTGTTGTCACTGTTGTCATCCTCATGCTCATCCTCCTGATTGAAAAGGTGGGCATTCATAAATGTTAAGAGAATGAAAACCCATATAGGGACCTCTCCTAACAGTTTAAGCTTTTAGGTTGAATGGTTCTATCAGAGCTTGTTTGACCAAGTGGTCTGATGTTTGATCCCTGTCGCCCTCATTATAATTAGTTAAATTTCAGCACAAGGTGTGAGTGAGCCTGTGCTTGCCCACAGTTCAAGCCCAATGGGCTTTCACGTGAAAGGGCGTGTTAGAGAATAAAAACCTATTCAGGGACCTCACCTTAGCTTTTAGGTTGAATGGTTCCTTGAGAATAAATTCCCCAACCCCCAACTGCTTTTGGTAATGTTCACCATCATGTTTGGTTTTGAATAACATACAAGTTGATGTTTACTTGTCACCATCATCGTTGCCGTCATTGTCGTCATCCTGATCCAAATCCTCATGGGTATTTATAAATTTGCCCAACCCCCAATAGTTTTTGGTAATGTTAACTATCCTGATTATCATAGTTTTAGCTGTGACTATCATGGCTATGACTTCCACTTTGGTGGTAGTCTTAGTCTTATAGATAATGAGGTGCTTTATTATATACTGTGTCTCAATATCAACCAAGGTCAAAATAACACTGTAGAACCTAGACCACGGTCTACCATTTAAAACGGTTATAGCAGCTGTAATAAGGACTGTCTATTTATAATTTTTCCTCAAAAGCTTAGTGTTAAAACAAATCTTTTTTACATTTGTCCTGAGGAAATTTTGACTGGATTATTGAAATAATATTGAAAAGTTATCAGCTAAAATAATGGAGTTATGACCTATAGAATGGTTAATAACAACCATTTTTTTTCTACTGTTGCTAACTTACTAATGATCTTTAGGCTTTTGTAGTTAGATTTGACAACCATTATTTTAAAAATCATGAGGGCAGTACTAGAACCTGCCAACACGGCAATGGATATTCTATGCTCAAAGCCGTACCTGAGTTGTTCATCTAGTGGATACTGTCTCTGTATTTATACTCAAGGACTCAGAACTCTGTTGAAGAATTTAAATGTTCCCTAAACTCCACAGGGTTTCTTATCTGTAGAACATTACAATGAAATAAACTGCAGCCTTAAAGGCCCTAAGGCCCTAAGGCCCCGTTTGCTTTTCGGTAAGTTATTTATCCGGGTAAATGCAATTACTCGGGTAAGTTTTTCCTAGGAAACACTTACCCGGGTAAGTGCATTTACCCATGTTCTTTTATTTCCCAGGTAAATAAGGCAATGACCATTTTAGCCATAGAAATCCATTATTAAAAGGGGCATTTTTGTCCCATTCAAGTGTTGGCAACTTTCTACATATGTGGAAAAGTTATTTACCCACCTAGGAGATAGGTATCACTTTCCTGTGTAAGTGATACCTAGGAAAGTAAACTTTCCCTGGTCCCCACATAAAGCTGAAAAAAGAACATGGGGTTCTTGGTCAATGGGAACCAAAATCCCATTGACCAACTTTCCCCCTTCTTAAAATCCAAAAAAAGAACGCCCCCTAAAAGTAGGTACCGAAAAAGGGAAAGTTTTCCAGGTTGTAAAGACAACAAAATCTTTATTTATCAAAAAAAAAAAGACAACAAAATCTTTGCAGGTAAATCCAGCATTGTTAAAACTTAGAACTAGATTTGAGGCACACTATTTCATTAGATGCTTTAGTCACAATAAAGCTTTGCTCCAGACAAACCAAACCATATTCTCATTTGCTTTTATTGATGGAAATTACATTTGAATGATGAAAGAGATTTTGTTGGGTGTTTGGCTTAATGCAGGTATTACAAAATTGTGGAAGCTGATCACATACTTTTTATTGTGAACCGGGAAAGAGCAGGAGTGCAATTCGATTTAATATATGACAGCATATTTGAGCGCTGCAGAAAGCACGTATTTAGGAAAGCACCACAATCGCTACCAAATCAAATCCACCATTAGACCAGAATGTGTTATAACGGGAGCTCAGACCAAGGAAAGCTACCACATTGGTCTGGCCTCCCCGCCTGATGTAAACGTTGTTTCCTTCAAATTCCCCACCAGGTTGTATTTTCTATCTGAGATTTTGGAGGCTTAGCTCATACCTCAGACCTCTTGGGTCTGTTTTTAGGCCAGATGAATATAAACACAATCTTCTTGTACAGTTTTTTCCCTTCTTAATTTATTTAATTTCCTTTATTTTCTCTTTTTTTTTTCCCCCTTTTGGGCCCATTCTTTTCATCATTTTTATTCTTTCACCTTAGCTAAGCTGAACCAGAAGAGTAGCAGTATCAGCAAGAAGTTATTTTAGAAATTAGAAGACACACATGATTTGTCAAGGTCATGTTAGTTTGGTATACATTATATTTATTAAATAAATGTTTGTACTTGATTTGTCTTCAAAGTCGAGAAAAATACTTGATAAACCGTTTATTGACAATTAGGCGCCATTAGGCACTATGTTAGCGGTAACGGAACAATGAATAAACGGTCAACCATTGGGAGAAGTGTTAAAATGAAAATTTCTCTAACAATTGGTGTGCACATAAATCAAAAACCCACTTTTGTGAATATCAATATGTATGGATGAACGTAATGAGAAAAATGCTAATTTGATGATGATACAGTAGTGTTTTGTTAAATGCCTATCACAAAACGTCCATAAAACAAAACACATGCAATAAGACTTTCCTTTGAGTTTCAATGCATGTAGTTTGGGATTAATTGTTCAATTCTTCTATCCTTCATTCCTTATTGTCACTAGATGTGCTCATATTCATCATCGTGTAAGTTTTATTTCAACTAAATACTCAAAGTGACCTTTTAATAATATTTTTCACAGAAGTTAAATTTAATTATATAATTGTTATACAAGAAGAAGAGAGGAAGGGAGAGGAGAAGAGAGAAGAGAGAATTGAGAGCTTGAAAAGTACTACAGGCGGCGCAGTATATTATATTATATATTAGGGCGACAACTAAAACATAAAGAGAAGTAAAAGTACAATAGTACCCCTGCGGTACTATACATATGGAAAAATAACAGCTGTTAACACTCCCCCTCAAGTTGGAGCATAGATGTCAATCATGCCCAACTTATCACATAAATCATGATGTCTTGAGTGGTGTAGTCCTTTTGTAAAGATGTCTGGAAGTTGATCCTCAGAGCTGACATAGGGAGTACACACTTCTCCTGTGATGACTTTCTCTCTGATAAAATGTTTGTCGACTTCGATGTGTTTTGTTCTATCATGTAGCACAGGGGTTAGCAGCAATGTTTATGGTTGCTTTGTTGTCACAGAATAGGGTCATAGGCTTGTTCACTGGAAAACCCAACTCACTCAACAGATTCTTTATCCACATAATTTCAGCCACTCCATGAGCCATGGCTCGATATTTAGCTTCAACACTGGATCTAGCCTCCACACTTTGCTTTTTACTTCTCCAGGTAACTAGATTTTCTCCTATAAAGGTGCATTAGCCACTAGTAGACTTTTTGTCATTTAGAGATCCAACCCAATCAGCATTAATATACACTTCAACTTTCAAATGTCTGTGCCTTTGAAACAACAAGCCAACACATATAAACTAGCTAAAGACACCAACTGCATAAGCAATGTCTGGGCAGGTCACAGAAAGATATAACAATCTCCCTGCAAGTCTCTAAAACTGTTTCACATCCTTGATAGGTTCACCTTGGCTGTCACCTAATTTATGGTTATGATCAATGGGAGAGTCAACTGGCTTCACTCTCATTTTTCCAGTATCTTGGAATAAATATAGAACATACTTCCTTTGGGAAATGAAGATACCCCTTTTTTAGCGGGCAACTTCAATTCCAATGAAGTATCTTGGAGGCCCTAGATCCTTTACTTCAATCTGTGTAGCAAGAAAACTCTTCAACTTATGGACTTCATCCCTCCAGTCACTAGTGACAATTATATCATCAACATATACTTTCAAAGCAACAATTTTACCTTCTCCTCTTTTCACAAACAGTGTGTGATCAGATTGACATTGCTTATATTCTTTCTGCTGAACTACAACATGGAATCTACTGAACCAGGCTCTTGGAGATTGTTTCAGCCCGTATAAAAACTTCTTCAACTTGCACACATTCTGTTCATTGCCTTGAGCCTGAAAACCAGGGGGTTGTATCATGTAAACTTCCTCTTCAAGGTCACCATTCAAGAATGCATTCTTGATATCAAGCTGATGTAGATCCCAGTCAAGGTTAGCATCAAGAGAGAATAGAACTCTAATGGAGTTCATCTTGGCAACAGGAGCAAAAGTCTCTGCGTAATCAATT